GCAGGAATTAGTCTCTTTCTACAGCATTAACAAGCCTTACAGAGTTTTGAGTGATAGATAGGTAAGCTGAGGGAAAAATGGGAGGAATAACTGGCAAAAAGGCTTTTGTCATGTAAACATAAGCAGCAGGAACCTGATTCAGCAAAATATATTCTCAAACTATTAAGATAAAACAGTGCCATGATAGGCAGAGGACTGTCTTCTGTTCCTAAGAGGAGGGAGGAAAAAAAAAGAAAAGTAGCTCATAGCTCATCTTTAATTATCTACAGTTAGCCAAGTCAAGGATGATTTAAAACATTTGTTTGCTCTGTCATCTCAACAAGGGTCTTGCTACATATTATGATTATTTGATCCACTGCTTCAGAAATCTCTCACATCAGAGACCATTGTAAACAGCAGGTTGGCTAAAAGCTTTCCATACACAGCAATTAGCTTGGCAGCTCTGGAGTGTACCACAGCATAGCTGCATGCAGCGAGAGGAAAGCCAACGGGGTGGCATTCTTCCTTCCACTTCCACAAGAAGAAAACACTCCTCTTGCTGCTGCTTTAAATTCAATCAGTGCTTGTTCTGATTAAGGAAAAAGGAAACATCCTCTGCAAGATGAATCTTTTCCTGAAGATACCTTTGTCTGCTGAGAACCGAGCTCAGATATTTACCTGAAGATAAAGAGGTAGGCTTTCGTGAATGGCAGACAGCAAAGCTGTGGGCAGCTCTTTGTCCTGCTGGAGCACAGAGTGTGGCAGCAGCAAGCAATCCACGATGCGGAAGAGGAGCTGCTGCGCTTTGGAAGTAGCCAGTATCGGGGCCCAGAACTTTACCAGACATCCTGTTGAAAAAGAATCATGAAATCCCAAAGCAATTTAGCCAGGGGGGGGGAAAAAAAAATAATTTAAGAAAGCCTAAGAAGGCAATGATGTCAAATCAGATAATCTAAGAGAAGCAACAGCAACTGAAATGTCTCTGAAACTAGAAAACCACAGTGAGGAAGGCTCAAAGTCCATTTATAGTTCTTAAAAATGAAAGTACTAAATTGATTCAATAAATTACAAAATTTTAGACAAGTGAAGCTGCTTTAGGAAAAGTACAGTAACGCTCAAGAAAGGACATTCTCCCACATCCCTGCAGGAAAACTGACCTAACCTTCACACAAAACACTGTCACAATCAGCACACAAGCACTTAAATATTTACCTTACTGTGTGCACTCATCACATCTTACATAGAGATGGTGCTTTTGACTTCCCTTCACACTTGTCCTGCACCATTGTGCCCACATCAGCAACTATGAACACAGCGATGCAGTGTTAGGAAAACAGTAACTATCTTTCTAATTCTATTTAATGCATCTAGTTTGGCAGATGAAAAAGAATAAGAAGCAGCCAAGTCCATTAAATCAGCACGGTGTCTCCAGATCTTTGCCGGCTCTCAGTCCACAAAATGAGAGCCGAGCTCAGAGAACATCTTTCTTGTTCCTAACACATTAACGTATCCCTTGCACAGCTTTGAGCCAGTTTTAAGATCCTGCTTTTGAGTTGCCAAAAAAATGGTAAAAAGCTATAGATATGTAAATAGGCTGACTTTCAGAAACTTCCTTACTGCAGGTGAGGCGTAATTTTTTCTTGAGAAAATAACTCTATACTTGTGTTAATACGCAAAGTACAGATTAAATAAAACAAGATTCCTATGTAGTAGCTCCCACAGACATTCTTAACTTATATTTAATTAGAAGCCAGAAAGTTTGCGGGGTTGAAAATACAGGAGGATCCCAAGGAAATACGTTTAAGACATCAAAAATAATGGAAGATCAAAAGTAGGCTGTTACAAGATATTATTAATCTACAAAAGTCATCCATTACCATCTCTAAAAACATCGCAAAACAACATTAATCTTGTGGAGTGAAAGAAAACACAATGATCAATCATAGAGAAAGAGAGTGATCACTTAACAATACTTCTAATAATGTTGTCTAAGCTTCCTGTTTTGAAAGAAACATGCTCATTCTTGCTACAAGTACTACTTCTATTATCACTGCTGTGATATATGGGACAGTAGAAGACACATCTGACCGCAGACAGGAGGAGGTGTTTAGATTTGTTAAGTTCTTGCTTTCTCCTTAGAATTTAACAAGCCTGTTGAATGTGAAAAAGTAATTGAAATAAACTTTTTTGTTTGGTTGGTTTTTTTTAAACTTTATTTTCAACCTTTTTTTGTTTTCTTAATTAAAAAGAAAGGACGATTTCTTGCACACAGCAGCATGACTGAAGATTAATCATTTCCTAGTGCAAAGAAAAGAAAGGACAATACCAATGTCAAATTACTTTACAATGCTCCAACCCAGCATCTGAATATTTAAAAAACATTTAATTTGATGCATGTCTTGTATATCAAAATACGCAGATCTTGCAACAGAAAAAGTATTTCACAAAACTTAAATTCCATTACATTTGATGCATCTTCTGGATCGTGGTCATGCTTCTCACTGTAGAATATCACAATGTACACCAAGTGTACATGCAAATCATTACCCCACCTTTAAGACACAGGAGGTTTACCCTGTTTTTAAAGGTAAGTGTGTCAGCACTCTTATTTTTCCATCCTATCACAGGGATTCTGCACTTTCATGAACAAATACTAGAATCTGAGCTTTAATAATGCAGTGTGTATGTAAGATGAGCAGTTCTAGAAGGAAGTTACATTCCTAAACTCATCTGTCCACCCTCATAACTCCAGTAAATACAATGTAGCTTGTTATAACATGCTTGTCACTGTTTCTGTTTCTGTTTAGTTAAACCGGGTGGTTTTCAGTGGTAAAAGACATGAAAACATCTTACTTTCAAAAACACTGAGTTGCAGGGGTAATTAAAAAAAAAAAAGCAAACCACCACAGGGAGTTTTAGACATCAGGATAAAACCAAAAGAAAACCAGTGGAAGAAAATTAAGGATCTAATTGTAACACCTTGCTGACTTTGCTTTTTTAAACCACTAAAATAGACATTAGCGAGAAAAAAAGAATTATCAAAAATCACATCTTACTGATTCCTTAAAACTATTCCCTAAAAGAAAAGAGATTGCAAAATAATTACCTATGATCCAATATGTAAGCTGCAGACCTTCTGGAGGTCCTTTTGCCTTTAGATAAGGTTTTACGTATTTTAATACATCACCTAAATACTCCAGAGTCTTTGCTACCATGGCAGACTTCTCAGGGAGTGTCTGAAGGCCACTGTAAGTTTTACCAACAGCCTGAAAAAACAGAAACATTGAAATAAATCAAATAAAGTTACTATGTTTCTTACAGGATTTGTGTGAGTAATTTTGTTTTGTATACCAAATGAAATCTGATACATAATTCCCTCAAATTGTCCTATGAAGCTAACACAGAGATGTACAGTACCTTAATGAATTGGACAAGGGCAGTTTTAGGGTCTTGCTTGAAAACTGACTCCTCAACATGAGCCTTTGAAAGAATGTTTTCTACTTCGGAGAGTTTAAAAATCAGTCTTGTCATTTCAGTCAGCTGCTCCATATAGGCTTTCCCTGTTTGTTATAAGAGCACAGCAGTAAATACAGCATACAGTGCTTTTCAATTTACTGTAGTCCCAAAATCATAAAATGAAACATGATTTTTAAATGTCTAAAATACAAGGATTCTGAAACCAACTGCATCTCTCTAGACAAAGAATGTGTGTTTAAACTAGTTGTTTCCAATACAGATACACGAGAATGAGTATTAAGTACGTATAAACAAATCTTTCATTTCACTGACAGTTCTCTTCAAAATGTACAAAATGTGTATGAAAAATAGTTGTTAGAAGATGTGTTCTACAAATAATTAAAACTGCAGTGTTTTATAGAAGTGATGAAGTATTGCTCTAAGAAAGCAAAATATCCAACATAGAAAAGGGAAGAATTATTTGCAACTGGATTTTTTTTCCCTTCTCCTTTTAGGGCATTCACAGCATGATTTCTGACTATTTACTTCAGACTTTCACTTTTTTTCAGAGCAGTTTCTCCATGGGGGAGAAATAGCTTGTCTCCTTGGGAGCAAGTTTTTGTTCTTTGCTTCCAAGGAAACAAGCTCTTTTATCTTTGTTTGTAATAAATTTGTCATATGCAGAGCAGGGAAACTATCAATAAATAGCACAAGCAGTGTGAAGATGCACATTTTGTAATTAGGTAAAAGTAAAGGAATAAAAATAAAAAATAACATTTTGTAATTAGCTGAAAACGTTTTGCAACATAGGATCATTCCTGCAAACATTAAGGCAATGTGAACACTTACCAACTGTTGTCTCAGTGTCTGTCCTGGCCAGCACACCACTTGGTTGATCTAGGAACATTTGCAAAACGCATCGAAACCAGGAGCGCACTGTCAGCGCTTCATAGGGTGTGTATCCCATGCTGGAAAAGGCTTCACACACTGCACTGCACGGGCAGAAGAGGAAGGAAAAGGTAAAGAGCTCTAATAGAAGTATGCAAAAAGGTGGCAGTGTCACATTCAGCTGTAAGCATACAGAATTATAGAATTGTTCTGGTTGGAAAGGACACTTAAGATCAAGTCCAGCCATTAACCCAGCACTGCCAGGTCACCACTAAACCATGTCCCTAAGCACCACATCCACACATCTTTTCAGTATCTCCAGGGATGATGACTCCACCACTTCCTTTGGCAGCCTCTTGCAGTACTTGACAATCCTCTCAGTGAAGATGTTTTTCCCAGTATCCAACCTAAACCTCCCCTGGCACAACTTGAGGCTGTTTCCTCTTGTCCTGTCACTTGCTGCATGGGAGAAGAGGCTGATCCCCACCTCACTGCAACCTCCTTCCAGGTAGCTGTAGAGAGCAATACCCTTTCGAGTCCTTTACTCCAGGTTAAAGAACCCCAGTTCCCTTAGCTGGTCCTCTTGTTCTCTAGATCCTTCACCAGCTTTGTTGCCCTTCTTTGCACATGCTCCAGCACCTCAGTGTCTTTCTTGTAGTAATAAAAACTGAACCCTGTACTCAAGGTGCAGCCTCACCAGTGCCAAGTACAGGGGGACAATCCCTTCCCTACTCCTGCTGGCCACACTATTTCTGATGCAAGCCAGGATGCTGTTGGCCTTCTTGGCCACTTCAGCACACACTGGCTCATATTCAGCCAGGTCCTTTTTCGTCAGGCTGCTTTCCAGCCACTCCTCCCCAAGCTTGTAGCATTGCCTGGGGTTGTTGCTGGGTCCTGCACTTTGATCACATTTGACCTTGCTGAACCTCATACAATTGACCTCAACCCATTGATCCACCCTGTCCAGATCCCTCTGTAGAACCTCTCTATCTTCAAACAGACCACGACTCCCACCCAACTTGGTGGAAGTTGCAAAATTTGCATATTTACTGAGGGTGCCCTCAATCCCCTCATCCAGACCACTGACAAAGATATGAAAGAGAACAGGCCCCAGTACTGAGCCCTGGGGAACACCACTTGTGGCAGGTGGCCAACTGGGTCTATCGCCATTCATCACAACAATTTGGGCCTGCCCCTCCAGCCATTTTTTTTTATACAGAGAAGCATGCACCCATCCAAGCCATGAGCAGCCACTTTCTTCAGGAGAATGGTGTGGGAAACAGTGTCAAAAGCCTTACTACAGTCTAGGTGGACAACATCCACAGCCTTTCCCTCATGTCCACTAAGTAAGCCACCTTTCACAGAAGATCAGGTTAGTATATACAGGAACAGTGAACAGAAACAACTAGAAATAAATGAACAGAATGGCCAACTGGCTTTCCCTTCGTGTACTCTACAGACTTCGCTCACAATATCCTGATACCCACATACAAAAAACATGATAAATGTGGTAATGCCACACACAGCAATATAAAAGCATATATACACATATATGTATGTTTTCACTACCTAAAACAAAAAAGGGGTGGGTGTGTGTGTGTGTGAAGAATTCACACAATGGGAGATGCCTTATTCTTACAACGGATAATTGGACAGTATTATCTAAACTGATGACGTACAATGCTGGATTAGTGCTGGTTTATCTGAATCAACCTGGAACTTCATATTGATACTGCTTAAGCTACTACAACCTTTCATTTAAATCTAGTTCAGGTGCCCCACGCTCCTCTGAAGTCTGCTTGGTTCTAACTACATAAAAGATGGAAGAGAGAATGTCTGCTTTAGCAAATAAAGATATGTCACATAGAAACAGATCAAAAAGGGAAACATAAAAAGGCACCTGAGAGATGAGAAAGGAAAGCACTACGCTTGATGTACACTTACAGCTGTATGCATTTATGTATGTACACACCCACAAGTACATACATTCCCACACACAGCAAACTTACTCAAAAGTATATTCCTCCAGTCAAACACTTGCTACTGTTCTACCAGCCCGGGGTCAGGTCAGAGTCAGTGGCACCATCAGCACTCAATGGACAATCCCTGTACTCTACTGGTCTGTAGTCTCAAAGTTTTGCTTGTGTTACCACCCTGAGCAGCTGCTGTAGGTACTTTTTCCCCAAGCGTATCAGCCCCAATTTTGCAGAAACCCCCTGCTAATGGACAGCAGGTCTGTTGTGCACTGTTTGCAGTCCCTGTCAGATAAGCTGCATGTGTGCTTCAGGTCAGTGAAACTTCTTGAAAATAGTTAAACCTTTTTATTTGAGAGATTTCCTCTCTGGCCAGTCCTAGGTGCTTTGACTTTAATGAAAAATGCTTGTACACTCTTCTTGATATATGTATATGTAAACTTATTTATTTTCTACTGAATTTTTACTTTTGCTTGCAACAGAACGTCAGCACAGGTCCAGAAGGAAACCAAACTGGATTCTGTTTCTCACTAAGCAACATTAATAAAGGTTTTTTTTCTGTTTCTGTTAATCAAAACCAATGACAACTGTGTATTTTGTCTGAACATCCCTGAATAAGTACTATTGACAAAATAAACAAGAAAATCAAGCGAATAAAATATAAAAAACTAAAACTAAATTTCAGTACCAACAGAGAGAAAAAAATCAGGATGCCTACAGACTTAATGCTCTTTGCAGTAACATATAGACAATTCCAGTTTTACATAATCTGGATGTACCTAGGTTGTCTTCTTGACCCCATAAGCTCACAAAAAAAAAAATATCAGTTTTTACCTTGTTGGCTTTGAGGCAACTGACAGGAGCAAATCCCTGAGGCTGGGCAACCACAACCCCAAGAGCTTAGGGGCAAAAATATTTGCCTCTCTGTGAGTGCTTTCTGTCCCATGCTTCCAGCAGGGATGAGATTCAGAAAAGCAGAGTGAAAGACAGAGAGAACATACAAGAGAGAACCAGAAAGAGTGAGAACATACACACATAGGCAAAAGACAAATATCAGTCATCACTCAACAATGGAGTCATTCTTTCTCCTGACAGTTCTCTCAATATGGATCCACGACTCTGGCATTTTCAGTTAGTCCATGGCACAGCCTGCCAGAGGAGGGCAAGGTCTCCTCATTTTTTAATAAGGGGGTATTTAGAAAGAAAGGTTTGAATTCCCTCAGAGTGCAAGAACCACTTAACTTGAGTTTTTCAAATTCTTGCACAAGTGCTTTAACCTTTCAACTGGTGTACACCAGGTAACTATCAGCAATACTACCTGTAATTTTAGATGGAATTATGGGGAACTCAATACCAGCCACATGTGCAAACTTTGCACTTGCTAATGCAATGGTGTTCCCAAACACTTGGGAACAGGGATGCCTTGACTGTGATTCCAGATACAGTAAAAGTTACCTCAGCCAGCATAGTGATGTATCTATGGACAGTTATATAACAATATGTCAGGTGCTTAACCAATACTGCTAATGAATACTTAAGTAACTGCTTTCAGTCACTTAACCGTTTACTGGGGGAACTGGTAATTAACATTAAGCACTTAAATTATACCAAAAGTCTGATTTAGGCATCAAAATGTTTTTCCAGATCTCACTTGAAGAGCAACAACATTCAAATTACAAATGGGTATTTATGTGCTTAACTCATATTTCACTCAGCATGTGCCAGATATCTGCAGCCTTGCATGAAACTCACCCTATGGAGATCACACAGAACTATGGCAGATCAGAGGGCTGAACGCTCCTCTAAGTTCCAAAGTGACACATGAGGAACTAAATCCAACCTCTTTTAACATCTCTCTGCAAGAGGGCCAAAGTCTCATCTTTGCCAGTCACACTGAAACAGTCTTTACCATACCCTGATTTACAGCTACACTCCTTAGAACAACGTATACCCTAAAAATGTGCAACAGTTCTCACTTTCAAATACATAGGAGCATGCTCTCCTTCTCAACTCTCAGCTTCCCTGCTTCCAAAGTCCAATTCAGAAGCTGGGAAAGAGGGGGGAAAAAAAACTATACCACAACAACCATCTATCTAAGTTTCATAGACGCCTACTTAAAGGAAATAGAAATTCTCAGGTATAAAAAATTTTGACTGGACAGAGTCTTTAGCAATTTGCTCTCGCTGACTCTGCTTGAGCAGAAGCATTGAACAAGTTAGACTGCCTGATCTCAAGAGCCTCTTCAAACCTAAACAATTATGTGACTCTCTGAAAATTCAACACTGGCATGTAAAGCAGGCATGTCCTCAATTTTCTGAACCTATTATTTAAAGCATCAATTTAGAAGGTCTTAGAAACTTGAGGTACCTGGACATTAATATGCACTCAGAAAACGTTCTAAGCTTGTCAAAGGGAAGTTTTAATGCATTAATTTCCTTATGACCATTTTCCTTATATACTTTCAACGATGTCCAACCCATCCTCTCATCTTCTTGCACAAGTCCTTCGTTTTGAAGAAGCCAAAATATTTAAACATCAGATTTCTATGACAGTTTGTATCTTGACCTTTTATATGAAGATTTAAGTTTTTGTGTTAAGTGCAACTGGTGGGGGAAAAACAAGACCTTTACCTTTAACTAGAAATTTTAAAATTTACCAAGTTAGATTATTCGACCTCAAGTGCTGCTAGGGCAGAAGGCTGTTGCCTTGCCAAATGTTAACAACTTTGCCCAGGTGTAACACCAACAGAAGGGAGTGGCTAGCCATAACTACGCAAATTAAAAGTAGATTATGGGTTCAGGTATTTCACTTTAACGCCATATTGTTCTGCATAGAAATACTTCTCTGCAGGTACTGTCTAGGTTTCTGTCTTCCAAAATTTGTTAGTAGCAACATTGTCTCCACTGGGAAAAAGTAAGAGATTAGCTATATAAAAGACAAATAACTTTTTCTACTTACCTATCTTCCTGAAAAATTTTGAGTACCTTAAGCTATTTACACATAAAAACAAACAACCCAACCCAAATAACATCCATTATCTCCTGTGAAACATCCCAGATGATTTCAAGAAATATAGAATTCCAATAGATGTAAAGAATTAGACCACCTTATTCAAATATTTTCCACAAGTCAAATGAAGAAATGAGAGAGTACTGGAAGAACAAGCAGTTGAAGTTTTTCACCTGTTTTGAATTAGGTGACTTAAATATCTTGACACCAGCTGAGGCCACACCATGTCATCCCATCCAAACAGCTGCATCATTGATAGAACAGGCTGTGGCTGGAGATCTGATAGGGCTTTGCTGGGCATATCCAAAGCCAAGAGAGTAAAACCTGAGTTTAAAGAGAAAAACATGGCACCATGTTAATGGTTTCTTAGTATGTCCCAATCCCACTAAAAAGCACTGAAAATTAATTACGATTAATAATGAGATTTCTGATAGTCCTAGACTGCACATGTAAAACTGGGCAACTATTCTAACAGGTAGCACTTGTAGACATGTCAAGACGTAGTCTCTGTCCCAAGGGACTTGTAAGTCAACATGATACACTGAATGAAAATAAGGGAAAATGGTTCCAAACATACATAATTTTAAAAATATATTCATGAAATCACAGACTGTAAATCCTGAAGGCATAGTTTGACCACCTATGCAATAAAAAACATGTCTTAAAAACTTGCCTTTCTGTCTTGTCCTCCCTTTCTTGCCTCTATCCACTACTTCTTCCCTTGTACACACAAGTATTACTGTGCTTTACAGAGCTGAGTTTTATTTATTTGCTTAGCTGTCTTTATAAGTTTTTAATTTTTTTTTTTTTTTTTTGCTTAGTTGTTTCTTCTTGCACTGAAGAACTGTATTTGGAAAGAATTCACTCAGTAAAAGCTGGCATCCCTATTTTTAGAATAGACTTTCATGTATCAGAAACTACGGTGTAAAGAAAGCACTATGGACAAGCTTGTTCTTGAAAAAAGGATCTTCACAGAAAAGTTGCAGATCTAGAAACTGGGACAGTACTTTGTGCAGGGTTTTTGCTAATGAAGCATAACTCTTTGCTGGTTCTGTTAGGTCTACTGTAGAATCTACATCTAACACCACCAGCATAAAAAACATAGTGCATTCTCTATGCTGCAAACAACAAATGCATTTAAACTGAGGAAGAAACTGTAATCTGAAATGCTGGGCAGATATTAGATTATATGAAAAGAGAGGCATTAAATTAGTTGGGAAAACTGACTTTGAAGGGCAATGAAATAAAGGCGCTCACTAGTTCCCAAACTCTCTATTTCAAGTTAAATATAAATATAAATGTAACATTAGTTTCTTAAAATAAAGATTTATAAAAATGCACGCATTGAGAAGCTGCCTTTGAGTTAGACCGAAGAGGCTAGTTTTTGGAGACAACAAAGAAGCTATTTTAATTAATGGTGTAGGGACAGACTACCTTCAGCTATGAAGGACTTCACATTTCCTTATGTGCCTTGGAATAAAAAAAAAAAAAAAAAAAGAGGTCACACAGAGCCCCCACTCTGCCCTAGGTGAGTAAGCAATCTGTGCCAGACTTCTTCCAGATGTAGAATGTAGAAACATTGTTTCTACAGCATCAGCTGTAACATGGGTGGGGGAGAAATGTGAGACTGACTCGGTAAGGTGAGTTTCAGGCCTCCCAGCGAGAGCAGCAGAGCTGTGGCAGCTGCTCTCTCCTCTGGGCTGCAGCCTCTAAGGCAAGAAGCTCCTACAGCGCGGGAAAGGTTCCCCTTCCTCCGCAGTACCACCCAACTCATCTCTATAAAGCAGGTCACAACTGCACTCCTCTGCTTCTAAGTGGAGTTTATAACAGGTTCTTCTTCCTGCTATTTCGCCGTGTTAAAATAAAATAAAAAGATGTGACACGGTAGGAAATGAATGAAAGTTTTGACATTAACCACCTCTTCCTTTGATTCATATTGCTGTTTCCCACACGAGCCTCAGCAGTGTGAGACCACTACCCCTGCACGCCGCCTCCTTCGTTAATATTACCTCCTAACTACTGCAGAGCTGCTGCAGATGAAGGGCCTTTTAACTTTCCCATTACTAACTTGGTACTTCTGAGCTTGGACCTCAAATTCATATCATGATAATAAAAAAAAAAAAAGCAATTACTTTTCACTTCTCTAAGTTTTAGTTAAATGGGTACAACAGTTCATTGCAACTACAGAATACAGTGCTAGCTACCAACATTAAAGATCAAACTGGGGTTTCTTTCTATTCACTGCCATGCTGACTTGTTGCATGTGGAGTTCACATATGTATGGAAAGTTGTACTTCAAGGTTAAAACCCTTCAGAGTAAAAAAAGCCAAATAATTAAAATGAATTATTGAACAGTTTTATGACCACGACTATAAGGGTTCAGCAAAATACAACGGTAATGTAATCAACCTTTTAAAAATTGTCTTCAAATATAAAACATTTTTTAAAAAAATTTTATTTGAATTGCAACTACAATGAATAGTCCAACACAAAAATATAATAAATTTCTACAAAAAGATGTCAATTCTAGATAGAGGAAAAGAATCTATTCTCATTTATAGTGTATAACATTTGCAATGTTGACTATAATCTGTGAGTAGCAGGGAAAACAAGTCAGGCTTCAAACCCCTTTGGAGTCTTCAATCTGTATTCTATCAAGTAATTCAACAGTACAATATTTCTTCTTGTCAAAATATTTAGCACAGAATCTAGTTTTTTGCATTCACGCATATATAAGTTACTACATATAATATATATATGTAAAATATATATCCTTAACTGAGACAGCTCTGTCTGGATTCCCAGAGTGCATTCTGACCCTGCAGGCACAGAACATGTAGCTAAACCAGGTAATTAGAGAAGACAGTGAAAAAGAATGGGGATCTAAATGTTATTACAGACACAGGGAATAGGAGTTCAACTCTTATCTGGGATAAATGGGGTCTAAAGGGAAGGGTCGTGATTGAATGTACATGGTTGAAGTACAAAAAATAGTATTAAGAAAAAAATTATAAATAAGATAGATCATCAGAATGAAGAATGCTAAGAGAGAGTGGCAATAGATTATGTTATTCCAGCTGTCTGAGAGTTTTGTGTCTGCCACAGAGAGAGTAAGTGGTGATGGCTCAGAATGCTTAGTGGTAAATGGGCCCGACAGCAGATCCTACTCAGGCTTTGCTTTGCCAGAAATGAGGACACATGTGAACAAATAGTCAGTGGAAGGTTGTTTGAATATGGTATTGTTTCCTATTCCTTTTTGGACTGCAAGATTGTAATACTTTGGAAAGGCAGGTGTGGTAATTGTACATACTATCCTGTTTGCAGAAGGATTGGAAGAGGTTAGAGGTTCCTTACGTTTCAGTGGTAGCCTGCAGACAGGTTATATTTACGTGTATATAGACTCACAGCTTCAAAGTCTTCAGGTGTTCTAAATGTATTTTTTTCAGCATCATTCACAGAAAGAATCTTTCTCATAAAGGAAGTGGCCAATAAATAGCTGCAAAAGAACAGAAAACAGTAGTTTAAATAAAGGATTGAATTTTGGAGCTCTTGTTTCCCCTAGGAAGCCTAGTGATGAGGCATTCAGGCCAAGTGCTTAAAGAAGTATTTTTACAGAACTGATTGCTGAAATTTTGAAACTAGAGACAAACAGCTACTTCTGTAATGCTGTTTGCAAGGCTATCTGGCTAGTGCCTATTCAGCATAAAAAAGAAATTAAAAAAAAAAAGACAAGGAACAGGAGAGGCACTAAATAAAACACATAGATATACAAACCCCAACAACCAACAGTTAGCAGAGACAGTAACAAAGCCCAGAAATCAGGAACCACTGAGACACAACCTTGAAGCCAGATTCTTTGATGACGTGTGATGATCAAATTTTATTTTTCTTACCAGAATGGGTCTTAGAGGAAGGAGTAACTCGATGTGATTTTTTTGAGGGAGGATTGTGGGACTGCACAAAAAACATTATGGGATTTTTAGGGGGAACAAAACCAGTTCTGCACTCCACAATCAACATATAAACATAATTTTAAATGTCTTCTTGTTCTATAACTGCAAAATGGCCACATGTGAAGCTGTGCAAATAAATGCTAATTGTTAGAACTATTAACTATTATAAACCCTTTTGTTTTGTAATTTATGTCTGGCATTCACCTATGTAGTTATTTCTGTAACTGTTGAACTGTGACATGTAACCATAATCACCAGCAAAACCAGCTTTCACTTAGTGTCCCTGTCAGACAGACCCTTTAACAAGGTTATGTAAATGCACTCTTTCATGGACTCGCAGACCCAGTGAAGTTGGAAGGGACCTGTGGAAGCCTCCAGTCCAGCTTCGCTTCCTCAGTGCAGGGTCACCTCGAGTGGCTCCCCCAAGACTGTGTCTAGTTGGGTTTGACCTATCTGCCGGGATGGAGTTTCTGCAACTTCTCTGGGCAACTTGGTTCAGTGTTTGATCACCCTCAGAGTAAAAATGTTTTTTTCTTGTGTTTATGTGGACTTTCATGCATTTCAGTCTGTTGCCCATTGCTTTTTGTTCTGTCCTCTCTCAGCCTGTCAACATAGGTTGGGTGCTCCAAGCTCCAGTGCTTCAATGAACTTGTTCCATTACATCCATGTCTTCCTTGTGCTGGAGAAGCTGGAACAGGACCCCACACTCTAGATGTAGTTTCACCAGAAGGGAAGGATCACTTCCTTTAGCTGTTGGTGATGCTTTTCCTAATAGAGGCTATTGGTCTGCTGAATGACTTAGTTTGTGCTGAACTAGTAAGTTTATGGCCTGGCAGTGAAATTCGTGAGAGTAATGAAAATGGACACATGGTGGCATCTGCAGTACTCTGACTCTTGAACAAGAAGGAGGCAAAGCAACAGTAACAGATGAGCTTAACACACACTGATGGGAAGGGAACTTTCAGGGCAGGATTATCTCCTGCAGCAGTGCTGCTGAGTGTTGCTATTGTTGCATGCTGATGTTTTGAGGCACCCTGCTTCAAATTGTGGCTGATACTTCAAGGGAGTTACCCTGGTATGGTCAGCAGAGCTGTTTAGATCATAGAATCACAGAATCCTTT